GTAAGGTCCCTATATCATATATAGGGGCCGATTAACCTACCAGCATGTCTTTGGAGAGTGGGAGGAAACCGGAGTACATGGAGGAAACGCACACAAGCACAGGGAGAACATGCAAACTCCATGCAGATAGTGACCTGGCCGGGATTTGAACCAGGGACCCCCAGTGCTGCCAGGAAGAAGTGCTAACCACACTGACCTGTACTGGGAATGGAGACTATAAAGGTAAGGATAGAGGTGTCTCAGCGTACCTTTATAAGGTCTCCTCTTCCCAATATGAGCACCACTAAAGTCACCCTGAAGCCCCAACTTTGGACCGAGGGGGGGGAATGAAAGCACCTACTGCCACCCCCACAATGCATTGCCCAGTGCCAATGCAGCCAGTTACAGTTGCATTGTCATATGGGGGCACACACGTTCCACCTGTAAGAATTGTCAATGACTTGCCTGGAGCGGCACCAGACCCGCCTTCTAATGCCTCCTCTGCATGTAAGGTTTGTCATCAGGACAGGTTCCCTTTAATTGTGAATATCTCCCGGATGTGTCCAGGGTCAGCCGCATCTTCAGGTTCTGCTGGAGAATCTCCCATGGGTTTCCTCTGACTCTGGGGAGTCTGATGGGAACATCTCTGCGATCATTACAAGGGGCTCCCCCCCATTCCCTATGTATTTTACTTTGGCTGCAGGGGGAGTAAGACTTCTTTGCTTCAGCAGGAGGAACAAGGCTCCAGCCTGGAAGAGATGAAGGAAGCTGCTAGTTGAACTTGTGAGCAGGTTACACCGGGTCGGTGATCAGACGATGAGTTCTGGTGATGTCATGTGACAGAAGCCCCCCCCAGCCTGGTTCACCCTCCATAGGCTGCTGCTGCACTCCCCCCTCCATAGACAAGCTCAGAGTCTCCGGGCTGATTGGGGCAGGTGAGATGAATGGTGGAGCTCTTCTCAGCTGCACCTAATCAGCCAGGAGGCCCAGAACCTGTCATCCATGTGCTTCACTTCCTGTCCCCCTACCCAGTGTGGGACTGCAACTCCCAGCATGTCTACCCAGGATGGCAGGAGCTGATGAAAGAGGTGTGTATTAATGGGCACACATAGACTCTATGGGAGGGGGAGGGGAGGGGAGGGCTATGCTAGAGAAGAATACCTGTCATTTCTATGATGGCTGCATTGTGATGTGTCATATAATGCGTTATTTCCCTGGATGTATACAATGTGACAGGAGGCCGCTCCGGTACAAATGGGATTCTTTATCACTTTATAAATTGTCCGATCTGCCGATGAATCAGAAGCCAGATTTATAGAATCAGATCATTGTCATCTTATCCGGCCCGTGGGATTTGTCATCCTCCGGATGGGTTCCGAGTCATTCCTGTCACATTCGCCCGCAGACGCACGTGTTGTCACGAACAGGCGAATCCTGTGACAGCCCGCGGACACCCGCGCTAATCTTTTGCCGCAGATTGCCACTTTCACTCTGTACCTTCATCTGCATTCTCCAGACCCCCTGCGACACTCGCCCACCAGATTTCTGACCAATGTCGCTGACAGACATCGGCGAATGTACGGCGAATGAGCTGAGATTTGCCCAACGTTTACAATCGGATATGCAGGGAGATTGCGGCCCCATTGAGACCTATGCATGTTTGTAGATGTTGGCGTTGTCATACACCAATGTGCGCTTACTGTTTGGGTAGGCGTGTATTTATAACGCGCATTGGCGCATGTTTCTAATGCGTGTATGAATTTAGGATTTAGTGGAAAGAGTTATCAGCCATTGAGCAAGGCATTAGCTAATGCCAGCACACCTAAACGCATGTTACCTGCATTTCGCTGGGCTTCCATTGACTTCTAGGGGCTGCCTAATGCACGAAAACAGAAAAAACAGGCATTTTTCTAAACGCAGTGTGACGCCATTTTTACTGAAATATAAATGGGCCCCTAATAAAGGAGTCGGGCTTTCTTCTTGTCACGTGAACGTGCTGCAAGTGTCCAATCATCTGCAGGAGAACTTTATGTCTTGCATGTGATTGGCTGGTAACCCCATGCTGCTACCCTGAGTTCAGGACATCAGTGCATGGACACTGCGCAGGGGGCGATGACCAGACTCATACGTGCTCAAACCCCGCCCATTGCGCATGTATCAGAAATCCTCATCCCCATGTGTCGCTCGGAGATGATTGGTTGTTTTGCATGCAGTATCTGTTCGAGTTGCACACCTCTGTGCGGCCCCATGCAGCTCGGTGTAGACAAAGTGTCCAGGTGTGGTCACCTGCACCAAGCACGCAAACTTGTACAGGAAGGTTGGCGATGTGTAAATTGCTGTTTCATATTGCAACCAATCACATTTCACCATCCTGCAGTCTGTTCAGGAAAAGGATGCTTTTGATTGGTTGCTATGGGTTACCGCACTTTGTGCATCCTTGTTACTTTGTATACCTCTGTACTGGACAGTCCCTGATGTGTATACGGAGGGTCCCGGGCTGATCTGACAGTTGATCCATGTAGGGGGATTGCAAGGACTATGACAACACAGACATATTTTCCAGCATGTCGGGAAGTTCTGCATCATTTCTTCTCCTCTGTAGAGAAGGGAAAATAAATATTAACCATGCAAGCGCCGCTATGGAGCACTATGTCTTTAGGGGGGGGGATGTGGTCTGACTGTCTGTGGTTAGCATGACACTGACATAAGAACTGTCACACTGACACTGGGCGCTGTGCTCTGCCATCTACAATGCTGTGTAGCTCTATGTGGGAGATTATTAGCACCATCAGGCAGCCCTATGGAGGTTTGTTGGAAAGCAGCCAAGACCCCCCCCCCCCTCCCCCCCTTCTCATAATCTTCCATTCATTGTACAGGTTGTAACAATGTAACCTCTTCCTCTCCAGGGAGTCACCTTCTGTACACAGCGAGACCTCAGCTGACCTATGAGGGAATACTCTGCGGTGGGACATTGCAGGCCTGCTGCAACATGACATGAAGGAGGGCAGGTAAGAGTTAATTGCCATGTGTGACGCTTTTTACCCCACTAGAGTGGTAATGAGGCACAGGGGGGGGGGGCACACTGTGCAGGAAGAAGGAAGCAGGGGGACACAGTGGAGGGGCCTTGGCACAGGGTAATATGCAGAGCTGGGAACAGTGAGGTATTCTTCATAAAAGGTAAGTGTAGAGGAGGAGACTTGGACTGAGGCAGGGGGTAGTAGTTGGAGGATAGGCAGGGGTAGTAGTTGAAGGAAAGGCAAGGGGCAGTAGTTGAAGATGAGGCAGGGGCAGTAGTTGGAGGGAAGGCAGGGGGTATCAGGTGAAGATGAGGCAGGGGCAGTAGTTGGAGGGAAGGCAGGGGGTATCAGGTGAAGATGAGGCAGGGGCAGTAGTTGGAGGGAAGGCAGGGGGTAACAGGTGAAGAGGAGGCAGGGGGTAG